TTAAGTGGAGTGCAACCCTAATCAGAACAGGAGACACATCAGGCCCTGGGTCAATGTTTCTGGCCACCAGTAGCACATCCATTAGTTTACAGAGTGCAGCAGCAAGGCTGCCAACGTCCCTGACACAAACATAGCTTGCCAGTGCTGAAATTGCTATCCTGAGGTCCTACCAAGTATAGTTGCGACCTCAACAGAATGGGACCTTAACCACTGGCATCTCCCATGTAAGTTGCCTAAATATTAAGAGCAGCTTCAGAGGCCTGTTGAGTGTGCCACTATTTACCAAAGTGAAGTGGATGGGTATGGAGGATAGGTGGGATTTACCTGATATATTATTTGCTAAGTTTCACATGCTGTAGGAAAAGTTTTATTCCCCCAGGCATTTAGGAATTAGTTAAGCTGATTATATTCTTCATTTTAATGGCTGGTATTATTTCTGCTAAACAGGCTTTATAGTTAATTGGTTGTTACAGATTCCATTGTCTTAATCATTTGGAGAGCTGAATTGATTGTTGCTCTTTTTTATTTGCTGTAGAGATCTTGAATTGTTAATTTCTGTAATTTACTATTAATTGACACTGTTTATTATTAATATGCATATTGCTGGTTCTATCTATTTTTACATATTTTCATTCTATTTTTCTCATTAATCTTAAGCCGTGGTTATGAGGTGGTATATAAATGTTTCACTAATTAATAGCATGTTATGAAATCATAATACCCCATAGGCTGAAATGTCAGACTGAAATCACACAGGGTCTGAGAATGGTAGATTCAATGGATAACTAGCAAATCAAAATCTGGTTGTAGAGGCTAAGACCTTAAGAACATAAAAACATAAGAGAAGCAAATGTTGAATCAGGCCAATGGCCCATCCAGTCCAACACTCTGTCACACAGTGGCCAAAACCCAAGAATTCCTATCTATACCTTCTGGCTAATAGACACTGATGGACCTCTGTTCCATATGTTTATCCAGTTCACTCTTGAATCCGTCCATGCTTGTAGCCACCGCCACCTCCTGTGGCAGTGAATTCTACTCTTTGGGTGAAGAAGTACTTCCTTTTATCCATTCTAAACTGACTGCTCAGCAATTTCATTGAGTGTCCACAAGTTCTTGTATTGTGAGAAAGGGAGAAAAGCACTTCTTTCTTTACCTGATCTATCCCATGCATAATCTTGTAAACCTCTATCATGTCACCCCTCAGTTGTCATTTCGCCAAGCTAAAGAGTCCCAAGTCTCTTAACCTTTCTTCATAGGGAGTATTTCAACCCTTTTATCATTTACTAGTTGCCCTTTTCTGCACTTTTTCCGATGCTATAATATCCTTTTTGAGGTACAGTGACCAGAATTGCACACAGTATTCCAAATGAGGTCGCACCATCAATTTTTACAGGGGCATTATGATGAGGCAGTTTGGTGTAGTGGTTAAGTGTTTGGACTCTAATCTGGGAGATCCAGGTTTGATTCCCCATTCCTCCACTTGCACCTGCTAGATGGCCTTGAGCAAGCCATAGTTCTGGCACAGATGTTCTTGAAAAAGAGCAGTTTCTGTCAGAGCTCTCTCAGCCCCACCTACCTCAGGGTGTCTGTTGTGGGGAGGGGAAGGGAAAAGAGTAAGACGCTCTGAGACTCCTTTGGGTAGTGAAGGGCAGGGTATAAATCCAATCTCTTCTCTTCTTCTACTGACTGATTTGTTCTCAGTTCTCTTCCTAATAATCCCCAGCATAGCGTTGGCCTTTTTTATTGCAGTTGCACACTGGCTTGACATTTTCAGCGAGTTATCTACTAAGACTCCAAGCTCTCTCTCTTGGACAGTCTCCACCGTTTTGGATCCCATCAACGTGTATTTATAGTTAGGATTTTTGGGCCCAGTGTGCATCACTTTGTACTTTTTGGCCCCGTTTGCCATGTTGACTTCCACTCTCCTATCCTCAGCAGATCCCTTTGGAGTGTCTCACAATCTTCCCTGGTTCTCACCACCCTGAACATCCGCAGATTTAGCCACTTCAGTGCTTACTCTCAACTCCAAATCATTAACGAACAAGTTAAAAAGCATTGGACCCAGTACTGAGCCCTGCGGTACCCCACTGTTTACCACCCTCCACTGTGAAAATTGCCCATTTATACTCACTCTCTGTTTCATATTAATTAGCCAGTTTTTGATCCACAAGAAGTCTTGTCCTTTTACCCCATGACTATTGAGCTTACTTAGGAGCCTTTGATGAGGAATTTTATCAAAAGCTCTCTGGAAGTCAAGGTAAACAACATCTGAGCTGGGTTCAGAGAAAGAGAATTCAAGGATCATACATGTCAGACTGCAAGCTTCCATATTCATAAGATAAGACACCAATTTACTGCCTACTCTTAGTTACATTTAAGATGTTGTCCCAGTGCTCTGTTAATATTGACGAGTTGGTTAATTATCATTTTCTTATTAACAGGAATAGCTCTAATACAGAGGGTTCCATTTCTGAGGTAGTTGAAAGGGGGAGGAGGTGTAAGTATTAGAGGCAACCACATAGCAGAAAGCTTGTTCAGAGTAATTAAGTGTGACCCCCCAACCTTTATAGTTTAGATCAGGGGTGTCAAACTCCTTTCTCAAGGATTACAGCAGAAGTACCCCCACACACACACTCTTACCTGTGACGAGGACTACGGAGGCTTGGAGCAGTAGCTGAGAAGTTTGGCAGTCCCGCCCTCTGATTCCTGCTCTGAGACAGCCCCACCCTGAACTCTCTGTTCAGAGGCAATCCCACCCTCTGCTTCCTGATCTTAGAGGCAGCCCTGCACTCAGCTTTTTATACTCCCACACAGTTTAAGCTGAGAAAAGCAAGGTTGGGCAGGTCAGTGGGGAAAGAAGAGATCCCCACTCCAGTTCCGGCCCACAGGCCACAGGTTTGACACCCCTGATTTAGATCATTCTAGGAGACAAATTCAGTGTGACAATTTTCAGCGATGAACTGGGCTTCAGTCAGTGCCACATTGGGACTGCACATGTGCAGGCCTGCCTCGGACAGAACTTTCTATCTAGATGATGTATTCCCACCAGAACTGATGAATAGTGACTTTCAGGCAAGCAGGACAGGTTTCATGTATTACTCATAAAAATACTCTTATGAGTGAAGCATTGTTAGAAAACAAATTAGGCTCTTTTATACCCTGGTTTCAATTTCTGCAGATCAGTCATTTATGTTCCCAAATTAATCTATCTTACATTCTTAAGCAACCATTAATAGAATTCGAACAAACATACAAACAATTTAAAACATCTAAAAATATATAAATCTTCTTTGTGGTCTCTGTGCTTCACAC